CTCCCTCCCTTTATAGGGCCTCACCAGACCTGATCTAGGGCACGGAGGCTCCTCCCCCCTTGGGAACATGAGGAGAATGGGGCAACTCTTGTGGGAGCTATTTATAAGCCCACCTTTCTTCCAGGTGTCCCGAGATGGGTCACAGATTAAAAACCACACAAATCACAGAAAGATTAAAACATCAAATGATTAAAATAGCCAGCAGAAATGTTATGAATGACACCCATACAAGACCCCTGTCCCAAGAACCAACAAGCTTTAAAAAAAGAAATGTTATAAATAACATTCACAAAAGACTCCTACCCCAAGAACCCCAAAGCCACTGAAGAGCCTCCAAAAAAGCTCTCTCGAAATCTGCCTCAGGGTTTCTTGGAGGAAGCCGTGGCAAGACAGGTTTGAATCCTGTCTATGTCTGCAGAGTAGACCTTCCCAGCTTGAATCCCATGGATGTCCCTTGTATCCACGTATCAGAGAACAGTCGGACATCAGAGATCCAAAATCTGATCACGTTTATGGATCTGGCAACCTAAGCTGAATTCAAATTCTCTGAACAACAAAAGCCCACTTATCAAGCCTCCTCATTTCCTTGTCTCTCTCTCACATTCAGCTCCTCCCATCAACCCAGAAAACAAAGGAGATATTATATGGAAAATGCAGAAGAAATGCACATTCCTTTCTGAGCCTGGGATAGGCTGCTTTTAGAGAAAATGACAAAGACAAGCTCAGATGGCGAGATTAACACTGTGAGGGAAGCACTCACTAGCAAAAAGGGAGAGGGACGGAGCGTCGATAATCGCAAATGTGGCTTCTGGGTCATTCAGCCTCCACTGAAAAAACAATACAGAGGCAAACGAGGTTGATTAATTAATTTCATCAGCCGGAAAAGAAGACAGGGAGCTGTCTACCCCAAACCCAAGGTAAACGCAGCCCCTAAGAACATAAAACACAACAGAAACCATGTTAGATCAGGCCAGTGGCCCATCTAGTCCAACACTCTGTGTCACACAGTGCCCAAAACCCAGGTGCTGTCAGGAGGTCCACCAGCGAGGCCCTACTTAGGCACTGTGGCCTCTCAGGTGTGTGATCCCCATCCAGACTCTGGAACTGCAGCCCCTAAGAACCAGCAAAACGTGAGATCAACAGTGCTGTCCTAAACCCAGCTGCAGCCTTCTGTGTCCATCAGTGTTCCCTCTAAGCTGAGTTAGTGTGAGCTAGCTCACAATTTTTCAGCCTCCAGCTCACACATTTTTGTCTTAGCTCAGGAAGGATGGCTCCAGAAAAAACTAATTGATGCAGGAGCCAAACTGCTCACTCACAACTTTAACGCCAGTAGCTCACAGAGGAGAATTTTTGCTCACAAGACTCCACAGCTTGGAGGGGGCATTGGTGTCCACTGAAGTCAATGGCCTTAGAATGGCGAGACTTCTGCTTAGGCTGTCCCTGTAACAGCGCCATCCTAAACGTAATTTGTTTATTTACTTCATTCATACCCTGCCACTCTCCCCAATGGAGACTCAAAGCAGGTTACATCGTTCTCTTCTCCGCCATTTTATCCTCCCAACAACCCTGTGAAGTAGGCTGGGCTGAGGGGGTGCAACTGACCCAAGGTCACCCAGTGAACGTCTGTGCCAGAGTCAGGGTTCAAGCCTGGTTGTCTCAGATCCTCATATGAAACTCTAACCACTACCCCACACTGGCTCTCAATCAGACTAGAGTACATCTGTAGAGTGTACTGTACTGGTATGCTACAGTCCTAACACAAACGCACGAGGGAATGTCCCATTAAGCTCAATGAGGCTATGCAAGTTTAGGCCTGCACTGTTAGTAAGATTCTGGATAGGCTGACCTGTGCGGGCCCACTTGGCAGAATCAAAGAATCCCTTCCTAACTTCCGTTCTTCTTTCATGTACTATGAAAAAGAAGACAGACCTCTTTGTATAGCAGGATCCACCGTGAAGGTCAAGTGGCTGGAAAGGGCATCAAATAGCAAACAAAAATAACTCCTAGGACACAATCACTTTTTTTTGTGTCTTTAAGGAGATCAGTTTCAGTGCAGGAAAGGGCAACCTACATTACAATCCGTGGTGCAAGCTTCTATTTATTTCCCCTTATTGCTAAGCACATAGATCAAACTGTTGGTGCATGCTCTATCCAGTTTAGTGTAGTGGTTAAGTGTGCAGACTCTAATCTGGGAGAACCGGATTCGATTCCCCACTCCTCCGCTTGCACCTGGCTGGATGACCTTGGGTCAGTCACAAGCTCTGGCACAGCTGTTCCTGAAAGAGCAGTTTGTGTCAGAGTTCTCTCAGCCCCACCTACCTCACAGGGTGTCTGTTGTGGGGAGGGGAAGGGAAAGGAGTTTGTAAGCCGCTCTGAGACTCCAAGTGAAGGGCGGGGTATAAATCCAATCTCTTCTTCTCTTCTTCTTCATCCATGTATTCCCAACAGGGAAACAGTAACTAGCATCAAACTTCATACATTAGCAGTAGAAAAGAGCCAGAGTCCAGCAGCACCTTAAAGACTAACAAAAGTTGTGGCAGGGTAGGAGCTTCCATGAGTCGCTGCTCACTTCTTCAGATGCCAAGCTCTCTGTATTTGAAGCAGTGGGCAGTGACTCACAAAAGCTCATACTCTACCACAAGTATGTTAGTCTTTCAGGTGCTGCTGGACTCTTACTCTTTTCTACTGCTACAGACTAACATGGCTACCCATCTGGATCTAACTTCATACATTAGAGTGAACATGCTTCAGACCCTCTCTGTAGGAAACTCAGTGTGGAAAACAGTCCTGAAGCCAAGCCCCTACACAACTAGCCAAACAAATGGGCCATGGCTAGTCATGAGTACTTACTGCCACTTCCACATGATCTGTCCCTTTGTCATCTTGCTTGTGTAGCACTTCAAAATAGTACCTGTTCGCAGCTGACAACCTATGGGAAGGATGAGAGAGAGAGAGAGAGAGAGAGAGAGAGAGAGAGATGAACCCAGGTCTAACACTATGTCCTCTGGGCTACAACCCATTATTCAGTCAAACGTGGACCACATCCTATTTCTCTAGTCAGTGGTGAGATGAATTTCTTCCAAGAAGATGCCAAAGTGTGTAGGCGCAAGCTCTGGGTCTTCTGATAACGCTATCATGGGGAATAGCTCCAGACATTAAGAAAATCCAAATCTTTAGCTGAGCGAGGTGTCAAGTCACAATTGCAATATATGCACGAATAATGCTGGATTGCACGAATTGTGCTTATTGCAAAACTCAGCATAAACTAGTTTATAATCAGAGGAGGGGGACCGAGAAATCGGCTGTCCTGTAGGAAATACCACTCAACACCACCAGGGGGCACTCTGAAATTGTCTTAAGCAGAATACTTAAAAACACATGCGCTCTGCTCACCACTGATAAAAAAGATGAAGGGACACCTTAAAGGTCGTCGCATTTCCAAAACGTTTTGAAGTCACGATGTTCTAAGAATGACATTTTAAAAAGACCTTCAAAGGTGAAAATGTTTCTGTCACCAAACTGGCTGAGCAGGGGAAGGATTAATAAGAGACCTGCAAAAGCCATGCAGACTTTTGTTAAAAATAGAGCAAACGGGGCTCTATTGGCTGACACCTAAAATAGTGAGTCATGGGAATCCGATGAGTAGATTGGCAGGCTGCTAAGCAATGCACGAGTCACTCACTTCACTGGCTTCGACTTTTGGCTCCTAAACTTCCCAAACTCCCCAGGCGCTGTCCATTCCTTCCCAGTCTGCAAGGGGAAAAAAAACAGAAAATTGTCCTCCCCATACATTAGACTTCATTCTCATGGAGCTACAGCATGGTTTTCGATTGCTTGCTAAGCGCAATGAATCCAGCCCAAAGTTAAACACTCAAATGACTGTGAAAGGAGCAAAGCCGGCTGGCCTGCTGTTGTAGTAATTCCTGAACCTTATGACAGGATAGCTTCCAGTTCGTACACCACACAACTGCTGACATCAGACTGAGAAACGGCCACCTTGCTAAGCAAGATCCTTCCCAGTGTTATCGTTGTTGCCATATTAGGCTTGCAGTGCCGGTTCTGGCCTCTCCTGTTGCCTCCAACTGGGTTTGGAGCAATGAGCAAGGAAGATCCATGGCAGGAAGTGCCTTGGCTGCAGCTTCACTGAGGGCAGAAGTGCCCCTCCTTCATCTTCAAGTAACTTGGAATTTGTGTGTGTGGGTGGAGGGGAGGGGATAGACACACCTCTGCCCTTGCAGAAGATGACCGGAAGAGCAGGCCAAGGCACATACTCCAGGCTTGGTAAAGTAAAGGTAAAGTTTCCCTTGCT